TCTGTTGTAAGAGGCTGTTTTATGCTGATGACACAGTATTTGTGGCCTTTGTTGAATTCGAACAATCTTGAGGGAAAACCTACAAGCGCTCCTTTTGTGGGAGAGCAGACTGCCTGACACACAAGGGCAGCAAAGCCTCCATTGTATCTTCCCCGAAAGACTGATTGGGAAAGCCCTCTTTCTCCTCCTGCTTTCTCTTCCAAACTGCAGTGCGTCAGAACAGCCCAAGTTGTCCACTAGAAAGTAATTCAATTTGATTTGCTTTCACTGTATCATTCTTTTAGGTGTGAGATTCTGTTCTGTAAATGTAAAGCAATATATAGGGTCCTAGGAGTTCCAGTATTGAGTCAGGGTGACACTGACCATTAGCCATTATCAAGACATTTTCCTGCCTAGTTCTTAGCATTATTTCCAATACTCTGAATATCCTAAAATTCCGCTGCCTTGAAAAAGCAATAATGAGCAACATAATTCATTTCATTTTTACATTAATTTGTTGGTGTGGCATACACAGTCAGTATTACTTGTGCATTTCAAACAAGCATTCTTAACTTTAACCTGTTGGATTTGATATGTAGCTCTCCAGATATTATTTTAGATAGACAAAGAATTTTTAATATTTTAACTTAATTTTCACTCATGATGGTCATTTAGTATGTCATTTGGGGTCTACTTTATGCTTTAAAGATTGCAGTTTCTGAGTTATGGATCAGAAGGGTTACTTGATTTTTAGTTTGATCTAATATCATTATCCACGCAAAGCACACCTCCTTTTAAAGGTCATTCCAAGTAGGAATCTCTTCTGAATATTTTTATGTGATACTCACTTTATGATATTATTTTATATACAAGTATCACCACTAAAATGTTTGAACATCTACTTTGGTTTATTATTTCCTAATTCATTTATTCAATACAGTGCACTAAGCTTTTGGTACATAGGGATAAGTTTCAAAGTTTAAAAAATAAATATGGTACCTAAGCTTTAATATATATTAAAATAAAATACATATTTATGTAATAAATATATTGAAATATACACATGTTCAGTAGCTCATTTTTCCTGGATTACATATTAATTCTTTTAGAACTTCTAAAAGTTCTACAAAGAATACAGTAGTTTGGGAAGAGTTTTGAAATTCTTTAGATTTTCAATTTCTCTTTTAGGACATTACATATTGCTATATAGTACATTATTATAAAATGTAAAAACATGCAAATGAATCTGAAGACAAGTTTTTAATTTGTAATTATTAGCTAGAAGTAACCTTGATAACAATTTTAAAATAAATGATGAGATAAAGTTCACAGGAAAGTATCTAATTTGTTCATTTATAGTTAAGATACAATTTTAAATTCTTTTTAATTATCCTTTCTCTCTCTTTTCCTTGGTATACCCTGTTTTCCTAGATCCTGTAGATTTTATCTTGTTTTTCTTTCCTCTGTAATCTACCAGTACAGGAATTCTCCCTGTGGACATGGCTGTGGGTGGTCCTGGGAGCTGGTCCCCAGTCCCCTGATCAGCAATTCAGTTTTAAGTTTTATTCTGTATTGAAAAAAAAATGAGTGGAAAGCTGTATATACACCCATTTGAGGTCTTCAGTGGAAAAGCTACAAATCTAGCCTCCTTGCCGGCAGTGTTGTGGGCAGGGTGGAGAGAGGGGCAAGGGGTCTGCTGGAAAAAATGAAAGCGGAGGCCCTTGGGACCTTCCATTGAGTGTGGTCACTATACAGCCTGCCTTATTGCTTAGTTTCAGTTTCCATTGAAAAGTTCAAACAGGAGCAATTCCTATTTGATTTTCTCCCCAATGGAAAATATTAGACGCTAGCTAAGTAGGCCAAAGAGAATGAAGTGCCTAAATAGAAAAGATGGTAGGGGAAGTGAGTCAGTAAGAGAAATTTAATAGAAAAGAGGAGAAAGGAAATTTCCAATTGATAAGAAAATATAAAATACCTTGGGCTCCAGGCAAAAAAGATAGTAATTTTTTGCTGAGGCCCCCGCTTCCTCTCTCTCTTGTTTCTGGCCCTTGTTGCCTCTCATCCGGACTGTCGTTGCAGCTGCCCTCCTGCCTCCACACTCCGCTCATGCAACTGGTGCAAGGCGTTGCTCACCTGTCAGAAAGTTTCAGTGGCTACCCACTCAATTCCTGAAAAAAGCGCCAATTCCTTAACATGGTAAATTAGTGCTGGCCACAGTCTGGGTCCGTCTGACATGACTCCCACTCCTTTTTTCCATGCTCCCTTTCCTCCAGCCACTCGAAGCTACTAACTCCCCCACGTACGCCTTCTGACCGTTCACCCCACACATGCCAGATGGTCCCTTCAGCCCAGAAGTGCATGGTCATCTGTACTAGTTGAAATCTTCTAATCACGCCAGCCTAGAAGCCCTCCCTTCTCTAGACTCCTCTGTCAGTTTGTGCCTCCCTAATGTCTCTTACTAGTTATTTGCACATGCCTTGCTTTCCCTATAAGGTCTGAAACTTCTTGAGCACTTTCCTCTTATTTCCTCTGTAGTGCCTAGCATATTGCCTTCTTTATACTCCTTGGGTAGCACAAATGTATTGGATAAATGGTAGCAGGAAATCTCATTAGGATCAGATAGTCTAACACACATTTCAGATTTTTATGCCTGATTTTACAGTTTCTTCTCACTTAATGTCTGTGGGTATCTATCTGCCTAGTGCCCCAAATCAATTACATGATAGGAAGGAAGACCGAAGAAATCAGGCCTCCTGAATGCCTTTTTGTAGATTTCCTGTCTTAGGAATGTACTTGCCGTCCTAATAAATTATATACATCTAACTGCCAATGATATTTAGATGCTTTTTAGCAGTAGACCAAACATTGCAAATATTCTGCTGGTGATGCATGTGGGGAGAAGTATTATGTTTTTCTCCTACTTAACTTTTCTGTGTGAACTAAATCCAAATGTATCTGAATTTTTGTAATTCAAAGAAAATATCTGTGCCAACATTTTGGGAACAAACAGCTGCCAAGTGAAACCTGACAGCCTGTTCCTCAGTGACATCCAGTCATTAAGCGCTGTGTACGCAGAGCGAGCAGCTACCTAGAACTGAGCTCATATGCAAATGTGAGCACTGCTTAATGAAAACTATGTGGCATTCATTAAAAATTCTTTAGAAGCTATGAAATTTTCAAAAAAAAAATATAGCTGAACTTGACCTTACGTACCTCGCCTTATTTTTTTTGTCATTTCCAGCTACTAGTCTTTCCAAAGAAAATAACTTTCTTGTTTCTTTAGCGCTCTCTGTGCCGCAGCTTCATTCCCCATCGCTGCTGTAAAAACTGAAACGGGTCCAAACACCACTGTTGTTCTTCTCTTTTTTCTGTAGGTGATATTTAAACATCAAAGATACTTCGGTACTTTTATGTTAGAGTGTATACAAGACCAAATTTTCCTTAAAGGTTATTTGCTGTCCAGAATGTTTTTTGGTTTTTGTTTTGTTTTGTTTGTTTTTTGCTCTGTGCCTTCTTTTTCTAGAAGTCCTCTGAATGGTAGGTAGCCTTTTGATGACTGGCAGTTGTGTGGAGGAGGAACTGGAGTGCGACCTTATTGGTAGGTTTTTTAAAAATATTAAGATATATAAAAACAACCAAAAAAAGCTCTCCCTTAATTCTCCACCAAAAATCATGTTGTTCTCTGGCCAGGTGGCTCGGTTAGTTGGAGTGCCATCCTATACACTGGAAGGTTGTGGGTTTGCTCCCTGGTCGGGGTGCTCACTAGAGGCAACCAATGGGTGTCTCTCTCCTTCTATCTCTCTCTCCCCCTCTTTCTCAAATCAATGTACATAATCCTCAGGTAAGGATTTTTTTTTAAATTGTATTGTGATAACCAATAACCTTGGAAAACTTTTTAAGTACTTTATGAGGGCTCCTCCTAAAGATAAAACTGAGAAATAATGCTTTTATCAAGAGACTTCTATTGTTTGTCAATTCCTATGCAAATCCTTAATGTATTTATTTTAAGGACTAAGTAGGATAGCTCTTACAGAATGTTTTCAAAGTTTTATTTATTCTGTTAATTAGGAAAATGTTTCATGTAATTGACCTTTGATTATATCTTTTAAAAATTTATATGTGATAGGAAAGAAAATATTAAGTTTCTATATCATGTAAATCTTTTTCCTAACACATCAGTTTTATTTTCTTGTATTTAATAATCATATAAAACATTGTTTATTCTCATATAAACATATCCTAAAGAAACAGTAATTATTATGTTTTGGAATACTTGCTCAGTTAACTGATTTTCTTAGTTGCACTTTGTGGGTAGGAGTGAAAATGGAAAATATTTGATGACCATGAAAGAAATCTAAATATTACCAAAAGTGGCAATACTATATGAATCAATTTGAATCTGAATCAGGAGACTTAATTGGTAAAAGCTACAATAAATACATACTAGGAAAAATAGAACAAAGACATTTTCTGTAAATTCAAAATGTTGAAGGTGTTTCTGATTTGATATATATGATCTCATAAGGAGAGTGTATTAAATGGACTGTATCATCAAACTGCTATTTTGTTCTTTATCAAAATAAAAAAAATAAAGAATGGCCATTTGGGTCAAAAATAATGTGACAAACCAAAATTAGCTTTAATTACTGTCTAGCCATAAGAAGGAACAAACTATCGGCCAAGACCAAGGTTCTTTGATCTCACATTTCAACCGTTTTGTCCTCCAGATGAACGAAATGGTCTTTTCTCAAATGTTCACCAGGCCTTTCACCATTTGATAGGACAATTATTTTTAAGAAGGTTGAAAATGTGATCTGGAAAACCACACTGACTCTATGTGGCATATTTGCTATTCTTAGCTGGGTTGAATAAGCTGGAAGTGGATGAATAATGCAGGTTAGAAAGAAAACAGATGCTAAATGTTACAAATAGGAAGGTTTTCCAGCACGGAGACGTTCATTTTAGGACGCGATTTTTGTTGGCACTTTTGGCATTATGACGATTATTGTTTTTCCCTCCAGCTGTTACACATCTGCATAGAAGGCTGGGGCAACTGGCGTTGGTCAGAGCCCTTCAGTGTGGACCATGCCGGGACTCTCATTCGAACCATTCAGTACAAGGGTCGAACAGCTTCACTCATCATCAAGGTCCAGCAGCTCAGTGGAGTGCAAAAGCAGGTGAGCTCCTTTGTGTTCACAACCCAGACGGCCCTTAATTGTTTGATGTACTTAATGGGAGGGAAACTTAGAGAAATGAAAAGAACAACAAAAAGAATCACAGTGGTATGCCTAGTTATACCTACTACAACCATGCACCTGAGTACCTAATAAGTGCTTGTTGATGATCCTGATGATGATGGCGATGGCTTCAGACGCTTTGTCCCAGTCTTTTACAAGAGCTGCTAACGAGCAGTAAAATTTACTGATTTTAGTTTCACCTCTTCTCCCTGTCACCACCTACCTTCTGGTGGAGGTGCTAATGAGCTGTGAAATGGCCAAAAGGCCTTTGTTGAGAAGGAAGAGAAGCAAAGGGTGCTGGGGACTCTGGATGACCCAACAGCGGGTCACCAGGAGTTGGTTCTCATGCGTGGATGGATCCTCTGCAGGGAAGTGTTGCGATGCTCTCCCGTGACAGAGTGGGCCTGGGTCTCCAGCAGGCCTTCCCTCCCTAGGAGTCAGTATTAACTGCAGTAAAAATTCACTGCAGTCTAACTCTTGGCATATAAAACCTCGGCTCTCAGCACATATTTTTACGTATTTTATAAAACTTCCTTTTGGCTGTTTTTGAAGTTCTAAGACTGCAAAGGGGAAAATATCTGACACTTTTTTTGTGTTCTTAAGATGTGAAAATGTGGTTTTTTAAAGATGTTTTTCAAGCACGGAGCATATGACAAGAGTAGAAAGAAAAAAAGGAAGTATTAAAATCTGAAAACTGGCTTCGCTGCACACATAATAACTGGATTTGTCTTAAGAGTTTTAACATACACATCTGCATCTGGATTGTAAGAGTCCATCCGGAGCTTATGTGAACTGAGGACATGATAGAACAGCACTCAGTCCCTGGAAAAGGAAAACAGGAACCTTCTGTAGTGAGCAGCAGGGGCTCTACTCCATTGCTCAGTGCCAGGGGGTAAGTAGGAAGCCACTGGCAGGTGAGCAGGAGGGCCCACACCTACTCAGGGAGCTGGATGGCATGTTCTCATTGTGGGCAACAGAAGTGACGTGGGAACTGTAACCGAGGAGTCTCGAAGAAGAAGCATGGAACGGTCTTCCCAATCAGCTGATTGGCTACAATGAAACTGGGTAAAATGAAAGACACCTTGAATGTCTTAAATTGCAAAGTCTTATTTACCTAACAATGTGTGCAACTACTAGTGGGAAGAGGGTTTAGAGGTTTCATTAAGAGGGTATGACTTGAGCTGGGCTTTGGAAAACATGTAGGATTTGGATTAAGGGAAGGCATTTCAAGTAAACAGTGAACGGACCAGCCTAACTAGTATGACCTTTATGCTGGAAAGTCCTAAGAACAAGAAGTGTCACGGACTCCCATCTGCCCTCAGAACTCTCAGCAAATATCTACCTAATTAATGCAGACTGGTTTTATGATTCTACCACTTACGGTCTTCCAAGAATGCCTTGTTCACCTTCTCATTCATCAGCATGCCTGGGAAGTGGTTGTTCAGCATTTTTGAATGCTCCAGATAATGAGAGGCTCATTCCCTCTTATAGCAGCCCTTCTATTGCTGGTTACTTCCAGCTATTAATGAAGGATTTTTCCTAATTTTGAGTCAAAATCAGCACCATTTAGCCAGTTTTTACCATTCCTCCAAACATGAGGTGAGCAGAACAATCACACGACACCTCGTTGCAAGGATTCCTCTCTGTATTACAGCCCTTCAAAACCACTAGGGGAGCTGGGATGTTTCCCCTTAGTTTCATTCTCTCTAGGCTGTGGCTCTCAAAGTTGGGAGTGTATCACAGTCCTCTGGACAGCTTGTTACAGCATAGGTCTCTGGGCCACACTCCCACAGTACCAGATTCAGTAGGTCTTGGGTGTGGCATATTCATTTGTGTTTCTAACAAGTTCTCAGGTGGTGCTTCTGGTCCCAGAGCCACACCGACTACCGCAGCTCTGGTCTAAACGTTCCCAGTTCATTCAGCTCTTGTGCATGTGGTTGCTAGACCATTTACCAGTTAGTGGAATGGCAAGGTTCTTCTGTGAAGAAATGGTTTTCACGGTGTGTGCTGGTGGATAAGGTCACAGGCAGTTTGGCTGTCTGCCCTTGCCAGCTGTGAGATTCAGTTTTTTAACCTTTGTGAATCACTTCCCTCACCCTTAAGGTCGGGATACTCAGTGTGCCTTCCTCAGGAAGTTAGTGTGAGGATTAAATGAGTTTGTGCAGAGCGCAGTGGCATAACCCGATGAACTTCCATGGCGATTACAATAATGAAGTATGCCGAGGCAAGGGTCGCACTAGTTGGACTTGCTTTACTGCAGTAGTACCTCATTCTTTCATGAATATTGCATACTTTCAAGAAATACTAAATTTCAGGGATAAATTAATATATACAATGTTCCTGAGCGGAAAAGACATATTACAGTACTATAAGTCAAAAAAAATTGTCACGAAAAATACATTAAACAAAATTCTCACAAGTGTTACCTATCTTTTCTTTTTAATTATAAAAGATTTCCCAGAACTAGTACTTATTACCTATATGATCTTAGGCAAATTTCTTTTGTTTTTAATTTTTTTTATTGTCCCCCAAGGACATTTTTTTCATTATTTTTTAAAAAGAGAGAAAGGGAGAGAGAGAAATATCCATGTGACAGAGAAACATAGATTGGTTGCCTTCCATATGGGCCTGGCCAGGGCATCAAGCACATAACCTTTCAGTTACAATGCTCCAAACAATTGAGCCACACCCACCAGGGTGACAAATTTCTTAATCTTTTCATGGTTTTATTCTTTTTGTGAAAGAAAATACACAGTAAATGTTAGTTCACTCTTGTTATCTTTATATTAACTATTTTTTTAAGATTTTATTTATTTATTTTTAGAGAGGGAAGGGAAGGAGAGAGAGAGAGAGAGAGAGAGACATAAATGTGCGGTTGCTGGGGGTCATGGCCTGCAACTCAGGCATGTACCCTGACTGGTAATCAAACCTGTGACACTTTGGTTCGCAGCCCACGTTCAATCCACTGAGCTATGCCAGCCAGGGCTATGTTAACTATTATAAAATATTTCTGAAAACACAGAAAACTCTAATGAAGAAAGTTAAAATTAACCATAATTCTACCACCCAAAGATAAATACTATTACTACTTTAGTAAAAAATAGTGTTCTTTTTCTTTTTTTTTTTCCTATGTAGATATTTTTAAACAACTTGAGATCTGACTACAATAATTTTTCAGCTTGGTTTTTTTTATTCATTTAACATTATATATGCTTATGTTCTCATGTTACCCAAAATTCCTGAAATTTTCTTTTGAATGGTTGCATAATAATTTACCAATTGATACCTTGAAACACACTAGACATTCTCTTGTTGTTAGGTTTTTAGGTAATTTCTAATTTGTCACCATAGTAAATCCTTAAGTAAATGTCATTGTGTCTAAACAGATGTTCAAGATCTGAGTCTCTGCCTAATACAGGGTCCAGCAGAAGTAATACCTGCTTGAGTATGGTTGGTAGGGTAATGAGTATAATAATTTACGATTTTAATTTGGACATTTCACCTAAAACATCGTATGGTGTGCTTGAGTGTGATATTGTTATGTTAACAGAATTACATGCTTATGATTTTGTAATAAAAGATTTTATAATAAAAAAGGGCATTATTTGTGCCAGATCCTGTATAATTTGCTATAAAATTTAATTACCTGTGCAAAGGGTGTGAATGTTGTTGTCGTAGTTGATGCATATTCCCAAACTAAAAAGATATATTTTATTCTTTAACCAAAATTTATTGTTTTGTCTCACCAGATTCTTGTTAGGGCTACAGTATTTTTTTTTATTTGTTTTACTGTTTTTCAATTACAGTTGTCCCCAATTACCCCCCATCACTCTCCCCTGCACAACTCACCGCCCACTTCCCACTCTCATTCCTCCCCCCATTATCTGTGTCCCTGGGGTCTTTACACATGTTCCTTGACTTGACCCTTCCCCTTCTTTCCCCCGTTATCCCCCTCATCACTCCTCTCTGGTTACTATCAGTTTGTTCTTTATTTCCATGTCTCTGGTTCTAGTTTGCTTGCTTGTTTGTTTTGTTGATTAGGTCTCACTTATAGGTGAGATCATATGGTATTTGTCTTTTACCACCTGTCTTATTTCACTTAGCATAATGCTGTCCAGTTCCATCCATGCTGTTTCAAAGGGTAGGAGTTCCTTCTTTCTTTCTGCTGCATAGTATTCCATTGTGTAAATGGACCACAGTTTTTTGATCCACTCACTTACTGTGATGGGTACTTAGGCTGTTTCCAGGACTTAGCTATTGTAAATAATGCTGCTATGAACATTGGGTTGCATAGGTTCTTTTGGATTGGTGTTTCAGAATTCTTAGGGTATAATCCCAGCAGTAGAATTGCTGGGTCAAAAGGCAGTTCCATTTTTTTGAGGAAATTCCATACTGTTTTCCACAGTGGCTGCATCAGTCTGCATTCCCACCAGCAGTGTACTACGGTTTCCTCTTCTCCACAACCTCACCAACACTTGTTTGTTGATTTGATTATGATAGTCATTCTGACTGGTGTGAGGTGGTATCTCATTGTGGTTTTAATTTGCATCTCTCTGATGGCTAGTGATGCTGAGCATATGTCTCTGGGCCCTTTGTATGTCCTTCTTGGATAAGTGTCCAAGTCCTTTGCTCATTTTTTAATTGGATTGTTTGTCTTCCCGGTGTGGAGTCATGTGAATTCCACTTTATATATTCTGGAGATCAAACACCTGTCTGTGGTATCATTGGCAAATATATTCTTCCATACAGTTGGTTCCCTTTTCATTTTGCTGATGTACTCTTTGGCCATGCAGGAGCCAGAACTACAGTAATTTTTTAAATAAAACTAAATATATATTTATCCCTAAACTTCTGCTGATTTTCTTAGTTTTTCAAACCATTAGCATTTTTTAAAAGATTTTATTTATTTATTTTTAGAGAGGGAAGGAGGGGAGAGAGAGAGAGAAACATCAATGTGCGGTTGCTGGGGGTCATGGCCTACAACCCAAGCATGTACCCTGACTGGGAATCGAACCTGCGACACTTTGGTTCGCAGCCCGAGCTCAATCCACTGAGCTACATCAGCCAGGGCTACCATTAGCATTTTTAAAAAATCTTAATATAAAGAGGAATTCAAATCAAGACTAACAAAAATAATTTTCATACATTCCAAGTTTAAGGAATTCTTTTCATCATTTTTTCTGTTAATGTCAAATATACATATTTTAAGACATCTTGTGCCAAATCACAATTCAGAATTTTTCCAAATGTTGTTTGTACCATTGAATGTTGATAATGATTTTCTGTGGGGACTGCCTCTCACACTTTTGTCCGTTTCTACCCTATTTATAATAAATAAACCTAAAAAAAAGTGGAGTGTAGCCAAAGGAGAAGGACAACTTGGAGAGCAATAATGGCAGTGCAGCAGCCCTCACGTGGCATCTACCTTTTTAAAAGGAAGTGTCGTTGTCCGCCTAAAAAACTGGGGAAGTCCATTTGCCATTCCCACTGTCACGAAGGGCACATACACACTTAATCCATACTTTGAATGTTAGCATTTCTTGTAGTTTAATGAGATTGAGCTCTCTGGTAGGGCCATTTTAAAATCTTAGGGTAGTAAAAAGCGGAACACAGGGACAGCACTTCATTTAACCTCGCAAATGAAGCAAATGAGTATGGTTTGTGCTGAACCTGGGTGACGTTGAAAGGTCAGGAGAACACCATGCCAACCGCAGACAGACTGCCGTGTGTACCGACATTGTGAAAAACCTTTCTAGTCAATGTTTTGTAGCCTCTCGTCCTCTCTCTCTCTTTCCCCCTCTTTGTCATTCCCTCCCTCCTTCCCTTTCTTCCTTTATCCCTCTTCCTCTTGCCCACACACACACAAGCAAAAGTTTACAATAGCTTTTTCAATTGGAGTTAATATTTTATTGTCAGGGTAGGTCAACATTCAGATTAGTTCTACTTAAAGTATTATATATCAGAGACACAGGATCTCCTCAGTTAGCCAGGTTAGGAAGGAAGATCGGAACCAAGCTTCCAGAAGAGCCTCATGGATTCCCGCTACCCTCCTGTCTTGGCTTCTTTTCTTCTGCCCCACCTGGGCCTGGAAATCCGCAGGAAACCTCAGCTGCCTAATTACCAAGCCCCATTTGGAGAGATGAGTGTGTGTAGCTCCCTGATGTGCCCTGACCACATTCCTGTGCCCCGATGAACAGAAAAGTGACTACAGCTCACCTGAACAGTGACTGGCTCCCTGTGCTCTGCTTTTCCTGTACTCCTCAGTTCCCCAAGCAAAGGAAAACTTCTTGGGAACTTCGCACGGTCCACAACTGCTCGTGCACGCGTATTCGCTTCCATTCTTCCCCTCCCTTAACTGAGGAAAGCTTTACCATTCTAAAAGCCTAAATGTACATATGTATGTGTGTGTACATATTTGTATCTTTATACATACACTTTTAATCATGGTTAAGATATCATTTTCCAGTGCATCTGGTGCTCTGGAGTTATTCTTTAATATCACTATTCTTCTTGGCACTGATCTAATAAGAGTTCTGAAACCTGCTAAGTAAAATCAGATGTGGAAATCTTCAGTACACATCTTTGTGGCTTTGGGGAAAGAGGGGAATTAGTGTGAAACCTGGAAATGTGTATTAAAGAGAAACCCTGCATTTAAAAAAAATTAAGTAGCTGTCTTCAACTGATAAATTAATCTTGAAATTCTAACCGTAATTTGCCAAATAAAGGCATCGTAAGTGTTGCCACTTTGAGGAAAAGCAGGCGCGGCTCTCCCCGCACTCTGCGTGGGAGCAGCCGCGAGCGTCACCGAGGAGTGGCCATTTTGGATTTCCCTTCATCTAAGTAGTGTTCCCTCCTGGCCACTTTTAAAGGCTTTCTTTTTATCAAATTTGAAAGCCTATTTAACAGGCTTTATAGTTGAAAATGAAACTATAAAACCCCACCAAGAATGATCTCTGTCTTTAAACAAAGTGAGTCCCAGATGGTTGCAGAGATTCTGTGGTTTCTGTGACAGACAGCAAAATTCTCTCCTAAATCTCCGGGGGCCCAGAGGTTCTGAAGCAAGAGCAGCGTGCAGACACTGCCGGGCCTGGGCACGTCCAGCACGAGGGCAGGGCTCGGTGCTGCCTCGGAGCTTTCAGAGGTTGCCTTCGAGCCAGGTGATGCTGTGGCATCATGAGAGTTCTCACAAGTGTCCCAGAACCTCTGGCACATACTTAAAAAAAAAAAATCTTGCTCTCTATTTCAGGACTCATAGTTCAGATGAGTGTTATGTTTGCTATATTGAAAACATTGTTTTTAAAAAATTGTAATGAACAGAGTATCTGGTTTTTACAGATGTATTGCTTCTAAAGAAAATTCAAAGGAATAAATAGTTGAAAAAGTAGACATTTAAGGAAATGCTATACCTCACTGTTCAAAATATAGTTTAGATAGTTATTCCTGTTTGTGTAAATAGTAGTTCATTAAAAATGATGGTCACAAACTATTCTTAATGACATAGGAGAATATGTCAGTCAGGATGTTTTCAGCTTAAATTTACAAAATAGGCTTTTTCATCTTCCAAGCAAGTTAATGAGGTGGACACTTTTATTGTTTCCATTTGACTTTTATTATCTCACGTAATGAGAAGGAAAAATGCAGGTCCGGGGCTGGTCAGGTAAGCAGCTCAGGGCCGCATCTGCTTCTCTGCCATCCTACTGGGTTTGCCCTCCCGGTTTCAGGGTGGCTGCAAAGGGGTATTTGTATCTTCTCATAACATCTTCCATGGCGGAAAAGAGGAAGGGCTTTCTCTTCTCAAAGTGCTTCCCTTATTATCAAGGAGTAAAATCTTTCCCAGAGCCTTTTAGCAGTCTTTCCCTTTTCATATTATTAGCCAAAACAGAGTCCCATGTTGACCCCTGAAACTAATCATTGGCAAAGTGAATTACCAGGCTTAGTTTATAGCAGTGATGATACAGTCTCTGGGGCCATGGGAGGCATTCACCTTCCCTGAGTATGTGCTGTTTTCTGAAACCTAAACCACACTAGGGTTTTTAATAGCAAGAGAGGGGAGGAGGGACCAGCTATTTGGAACAAAACCAGTGGTGTCTGCCAGGTTTACATTATGATTGGCAGCCTTTATGCTCTTTTTATAGTTTCTAAGTCTTCTTAATTATTAGTAGGTATTAATTTTATGAGAAGATAGACCATCAGGGTGATTATCAGCTCAGGCTGTGGGCCAGCCTGGGTGATACTAGGCAAGGTATTCAACATTTCTGTGCTTCCATTTTCTCCTTGTTACAATGAGGAGTCAGGAGCACCAATTTTGTAAGGTTGCTGTGAGGTGAAAAGAATGAATTTGTGAAAATGCTTTTTATTAGTCAGCGTTCTTCAAAACCAGTAAGTTTTAGATATGCATGCACAGATACTTGTACACATGCTGTATGCGTGCACGCAGAGAAAGGGAGGGAAAGGTGCATGCTGAGTGTTCTTCCCCGTCATGGTGAGCATTCATATTACAGAAAGGTTTGCTTTCTAAAAGTAGTCACTTTGTAAAAATAAGTTTTGCATTGTCTTTTCAATTTCGACCAATTTAAGAGATATTTCTTAATACCTACTATGAACTGTACTCTTAGCTGGATGAAGAGTTAGATAATCCATGGGTTTAATGGATTTATAACCTGTGTTTCATCAAGATACATGCTTCTACACTATAGGAAAAACCTGAATAAAATCAAATATAATTAGGCATCTGTGTTAACAGTTGTTTGTATTATCAGTTTGTGCAGAGATCTCTTGTCGCCTAAGAATACAACAAACCCTTCGAAATCAGCTCCAGGAAATGTGTTGGTTACAGTTGTCCTCTCAGCTACCAGAGCTGGGGCCTTTTTCTCAGTCCCCATCCTTTTTTCCTGTGACATCATCTGGTACCATTGACCACCACCTCTCAGTCAGTCTCTTCCCCTGTGGCTTCTGCAGCATTAGTCTCCTGGTTCATGACCACGCTCCTTCACCCCTTGTTCTTCAGCCCCTTCTCTGGCCTCTGCCCCGATAGCTGTCCCCTGTGCGTTGGTCAGTTGCTGGGTTTGAGCCGCTACCCTCTTTTCCAAATAAGCTACCTTCTATCTGTGTCCATTTGCAGGGCTATTGTTTCATAAGTCTCTTATCTCCAACCTCAGCTTCACTCACAAACCCTCTGCCAGTACTTCGAGCTGGGCCTGGCCTGGACCCCACCCGTGTGTCGGTCCTTCCAACGCTGTGAACTCAGCAGAGCCAAACCCCTCTCCTCTCAAGCCTCTTTTTCTTCTTGTACTCTCTAATAAGCTAATGACTTTTTTCTTTTCATTAAAAGGAACACAAGTTACTCTCTCTGAATAACTACATGTTTCCAGTTCATGAAATCTGAACTGATGAGGCCTTATCTATCTATTGTCTTTAAGATCATCATCTGTGGGAGACAGATCATCTGTAGTTACTTGTCTCAAAGCATAGAACTGAAAGTCGTTCAGCATTACGTTGGTCATGATGGACAAGCTGTGGTTCGGGAGCATTTTGACTGCCTCACCGCCAAGCGGAAATTGCCTTCGTACATTCTAGAAAACAGTGAACTGACGGAACTGTGCGTGAAGGCCAAGGGAGATGAAGACTGGTCAAGAGACGTGTGCCTGGAATCCAAGGCCCCTGAGTACAGCATCGTCATTCAGGTGTGCGAGGTGCTGCAATCTAGACGAGAGCAGCTTTAAAATTAAACATTTCTCAATATGCTCTTTATTTCATACAACACTTTCTATTACAAGGGGGTATATGTAAAAGAAGGGAGAACTGAAATAATACAAAGAGGCTTTGAATATTACATCCCAACTGTTTCCTTCCCACCCCATGACGGCACGTTTGTCTCTGGTCCAATAGGCCTTGTAGCCAGGACGCTGCCCCTCCCAGACTGAGAGCGTTATATCTTGGGAAAGACTGTGATGCACAGAGCTCTGGCGGGAGGGGAGGGGGCAAAGGGTGTCCTCTCCGCTTAATGATCTTCGTGTCGATCTGTTACTTTTGTACCTCTTCCTCTCCTTCTGCTGTCATCACTGTCCTTCCCATAAAGGACAAATCATCTCTTTCGTTCTCCCACCCAGTCCCGTGTCAGTCTCTCCTCACAGATGGAAGTTTCTCCGTCTTTATGGAAAGAGTTGGCCCCAGTAACTCACTGCACATTCACTCTGCCATAATGAAGTCTGCTTTTGCTTAGTTTTCTTTTTTTGTGGCTTTTTTCTATAACTTCAGACTTTTTAATCCTCCAAACCAACATTATATCTGTGCCTTATGTTGATTAATTAGTAAACTCGGGTTTAATGGGACCCTTTCCTATCTCGTGTGCAGGTGCCATCTTCAAACAGTTCCATTATTTATGTCTGGTGCACAGTTTTGACTTTGGAACCCAACTCTCAAGTGCAACAGCGAATGGTGAGTGCTTTCCAGTCCTAAAATATGGTATATGACTCTGACCTTCCCTGTGCTGAAATAAATTAAGGTCAGAGTGACCCAGGGAAGAGATTTATTACAAGTTTGTTTCAGCATCAAACAGCTGGAATACTGCAACAGAGCAAATATGAAAGTTCTTCTGCCCTTTTATTTTTACAGATTGTGTTCAGCCCTCTTTTTATCATGAGGAGTCATCTTCCAGACCCCATTATCATACATTTGGAGAAAAGGAGTCTGGGGTTGAGCGAAACACAAGTTATTCCAGGAAAAGGGCAGGAAAAACCACTGCAAAACATAGAACCTGACCTTGTACATCACCTAACATTTCAAGCAAGGTACTGGAAAAACCCTTATATTTTCCTAAGAGAGATTCAGTTGAAAATTAACCTGGTACTATTGAGGAGGGAGAGGGAGGATACAGTTTTTTGTATGATTTCTTATCTTATGAGAATGTTATTTTTAAATTATCCTTAGTGTTCTCTTATTCTCTTCAGTAGTTTTAAATAAAATTCAGCCTCTTTCATTCAGCTTAGAAATAAATGAGGGATCATCAGAAAATTTAATTGGCACATCATTTCTCTCCTGGGAGAAGAGATGAATAGAAGTCTCACTCAAGCGTGGTTGGGGTAGGGGCCAGAGCTCACATCATCCAAACACTGTGTCATCAGTCCCTAAACCACCAGAAATTGACTCCGTCTCGCAATGAAGTATTGGACTACAATATGTTTGTAGTTAGAGTTGTTGGTTGGTTGGTTTGTTTGCTTGCTTGTTTTTCAGTAAATTTTAGGCCACCTTAGAAATCTGATATTTTTTTTTCTTTCCGTTTCTTAGAGAAGAAGATGACCCTTCACATTGCGCTGTGCCCATCTCAACATCCCTCATTAAGCAAATAGCCACTAAAATATACCCTGGAGGTTCCGTTAGCCAGATCCTGGATGAATTCTATGGGCCAGGAAAGTCCCTTCAACCCATGTGGCCCTATAATAAAAAGGATTCTGACAGGTATGTTCCCCAGCTATCTTTTTCTATTAACATTTTTCAGTATTAATAACCATTCACAAAAATGTTAGATACCAAAAAAAGGGTGTTTGGTTGTTTTTTTTTTAAATAGATACTTGCACGTATCTGTCAGATTCTGCCTTTTTATCATCCAGTAGATGTATTTTGTAGATTGCTTTACTCATAGTCTGGAATGTAATTGCATGAAAAGTTTCTTCTCCTGGATGCAAATTCAACATTGGATGATTGTGGTGTGAAGAGGTGTCATACAGGAGTGCTGTGTGTCTGGAATCCTTAAATATACTTCATGAATACTGAAGTCATTATATTTCACTGAATCTCTTGGATGTGGTGTTTGGAACAGGAATGAACAGCTGAGTCAGTGGGATAGCCCAATGCGAGTGAAGCTGTCAGTCTGGAAGCCATATGTTAGAACCTTGTTGATAGAACTTCTACCCTGGGCCCTGCTTATCAATCAGTCCAAGTGGGACCTTTGGCTGTTTGAAGGAGAGAAGATTGTTCTACAGGTTCCTGCTGGCAAAATTATTATCCCTCCTAATTTTCAGGTACTATAACTTCTTTTAACTAATATGAATTCTTTTATTTCAACAGCCAGCTTTTATTCTGAGGTTGCATTTATATTCATAACAGAATGAATCCGTTGTGGGAAACTGTCCTTGAAGTTGCATACGTAAGGCGTATGGAATGTTGTTTGATATTCAGAGACATTTCAGATGCCTTTTTGCCCATCGGCAGTATTCATGTTTGAGTTACCATTAAATTTGATAACTTGTACTAGTTACATTCTCATTTCCACTGTATACAGCATATTTGACAAGCATTAGAATTGGCCTCCTCCAGATATATTAAGGACATAGAATTGTATTCTGTGCTCTAGCACCCACCCCCTAGATACTTTTGTGGTCCTGACAGAGATGGGTAAGAACTGAGGATTTCTGAGCCACCATTTTTGCCAGGCCCCCTTTTTTTAATAAGTGGATTTGAATGTCCACAGTCATGATGCCCGCCCAGTGTTGACGGTGACAATGTGGCATCATGACTGACATGGGGGAAGGCTTAGTCACGGAACAAAATCTCACAGGACGAGTTTATTTTCCATCACAAGAGAATTTTCTAGATAAGGCTAGCTCATTTTTAAAAGCCATATAAATCTGTTTTTTAAAAAAGAGTACAAGGAACTCCTAATGAAATCTTTTTCCTGATAGAGAACAACTTGAGAGTTCATTTTTTTTAGGGGGTGGGACTTCAGTTCATAAACATCTTTATTCAATTGCATTTTAGAAAATAATCAAATCATGTTATTTTATGGAATTGGAATGTTGACTTACATGGACCTAAAGTTGCATAGTATTCTTTTGTCAGATGCAATGAAACCTTCAGTTTTTTAAGCCTTTGGTATTTATAGGGTGGTTACAATTTGGGTTTGGTTTTTTCCCTTCTTCCATAAATATGAATTCCATCATGAATCAAAGAAAACATCTAAAATAAAATGTATGTTGCCAAGAAAGAATGAATGAAAGAAAGAAAGAAAGAAAGAAAGAAAGAAGAGAAGAAAACCTTAAAGGATTTGTTTGCAAAATAGATCTATTATATAATTTTTTAAAAATTCCTGTGATTTGAGGTAAAAATATCAAAGTAAAGAAAAATACTTGATAATTGAGGCATTGTTTTTCCAGGAAGCCTTTCAAATTGGAATATACTGGGCAAATACCAACACCGTGCACAAGTCAGCAGCAGTTAAACTGGTTCATAACCTGACATCTCCGAAGTGGAAAGATGGAGGCAATGGTGAGGTCGTGTCGCTGGACGAAGAAGGGTTTGTTGATGCCGAAATAAGACTTGGTGCTTTCCCAGGACATCAGAAGGTGAGATCAAAGTCTGTGTGAGTCCGGGGAAGTAGCGTGCCACCCCCTCAACCTGTTTAAAATGAACCCACCCTTTTCTTTTCAAATCCCGTTTTGGTATTACTTGTTCTAGACAATTTGTAACAGTGAAACCCATGACTTCTTAGACCTCTCTGTTTTCTTCCCTGTACCAGTGATAAAAGCTGTGTCACATAATTTATCCAGTAACTGCTCTGGTTCAGAACACTCAGCAGCCACTTGATTTATTGCATGTGGGGGGGTGGGGGGAGAATGAACTTATTCACAAGTATCCACAAAGTATACTTGGCCTCCTCCGTTCAGAGGAGGAAGCGGAGCTGCTAGCATTCCGAGCTCCGAGGGGAAGGACGAGGCCCCCGCTTGCACAGGCTGCATTCCTGAGCAGAGCGACGGGGGTCCATTCCGGTTTTCCCACGGAACCAGTGTTACAAGAGGGTGTTGCATCCTTGGACAGGGGACTGGCACCCGTGTTTTTAAAGATATGAATACAAAAAACAGACTTAATTGGTCGTTAATTAAATACAAATGTGTACTTTTCAGCATAAATCTTCTCTAAAGTCTATGAAAACCAATTAAGCTGAATAATACAGTAACAACACTATCATATTGTACCATTTAGAGGTCTTATGTTGTCCTTAATAATATCTTCATTATTTTAGAGGTCCCAAATCAGAAAAAGAAGGGATACTTCATCAGAGCAGTTTAAGTCAGAATGACCTTTGTGTAGGGAGAAGTTAGATTTTGGCAGACTTCTTTGAAGAGCCTCTTGAGAAAAGTTAGGGTCACTTGGTGACTTTTTAAAAAATAAATTTCTCTGATACAAAGAGGTTGGTTTCTCTTCAATAGTCAAGGCTGGTATCCATTTCCTCAAAGTTGTCTGGGCAACACATGTTTATGCTCTGCCGGCCAAAACACTGTAACATGGGTGTGAATGGCAAAGAGCTGTAAGCGTGAATCGCCCAAAGTCGAATAGTTGTAAGTTGAGAACTACCATCAAAACCTGGGAAAAATGTTATGATACACAAACACCCGATATCTCTAGCACCTCACCACATAGCCATAGTAAGCGCTGAATACATGTTTGTGAATGAATGAATGGACTGTTGGAAAATACATTATTTTATATATTTATCTCATTATTCTTTAGCAGGGATTCTCAAACTTTTTATCCTTGACACCCCTTAAAATTATTAAGGACCTCCCAGAACCTTTTGTTTATGTGGGTTATATCTATTGATATTTAGAAGTCAAAACAAAATTTAAAACAAAGGATAGACATACATTCCATTAGTTATAAAAGTGATGACATTATACTGCATATAACCTCTAGAAAGTTCCAGTTGTACACTTAGAGAGAATTAGAGTGAAAAAGACAAATAGCATCTTAGTGTTATTTATAAAAATAGTTTTGACCTTTGGACTCCCTAAAATGATCTCAAAGACAACCTGCCAACCATGGGCCCTGGACCACACTTTGAGAACTGTTATTCTGATAATACCGCTTAAAGATACCCACTAGATGGGTATGCAAGTAATATCTGCCCTGAGCACCCGTCCCTCATAAACAGGGTGAGGTGATAAGATGACAGGCATAGTGGTAAGAGCAGCACCATGGAACCAGACTGCATGGTTTCCAACCCCAACTGGACCTTCTTTATATTTGTGAACTTGGGCAAGTTACTTAACCTCTTTGTGCCCCATTTCCTTCTTCTGTAAAATGGAGATAAAAGTAGCTGCCCCATGTGGGTGTTGTGAAGATTCTGTGAGTTACATGCATGAAGTACATAAAACAGGTTGACCACAAGAAGGCCATAGGTGAGGGTCAGCCATTATGATTTCTTCATCATCACCAGCAGCAGCAGTATTATTAAAGTTCTCAGAATTCCTCCTGGTCCATACTAGGCAGTCAGTGAGACGGCTACTATCATGTGCGTGAGGAAGAGGAAGAAAAATGTTTATTTGAATTCTTCATGTTGAAAAAGATGAGTGGCATCTTTTTACATATAAGTGCTTTATAGATAAATATTTTGTGAGGGAATTGGTTAAATAACTTGAAAACAAGTCTCTAGGTTGCTACACGGTAGCAAAAAAGTAACGAATTGCTTTGGTGAGGTACCCCGTTGCAGAGGAAACAGGGGCCAGGACAGTTTTGAAACTGAAAGAGGGCCGCATCAAATACCCTGGGACAAAAGGTAAAATTGGTACTGTGCTGGGAAAGCAATAGATAAAATGGCCTTTTGCAAGTAATCGAGGTTTTTATACACTTTACACAATGTCCAGATTTCCTCTGTCCTCAATTGTCTTGCAGTTGTGTCAGTTCTGCATTTCCTCCATGGTGCAGCAGGGGATACAGATCATTCAGATTGAAGACAAGACGACAATAGTCAATAATACACCCTATCAAATATTTTATAAACCACAGTTAGCGGCCTCCAAGCCCCGTTCTGGAAAGGAGGTAAGCAATTCATAATGTGATTGGATTGTCTTAAGTTTCAATAAATCACAATCAAGAGAATCAACCTTTTTAAACCTAGAACATATAAAACGCCACTGCTGAATATGGGTAAAGAGAAACGCATTTATTTTTTTTTACTTTAATTAAAACCAAGGATGTCATGGTCAGTGCTTCCAAGGTAGTTCCCAAGCAAAAACATCCCGACACAGTCAGATGAGTGCTGCCTGCGCCCCATCTGCTCAAGGCCACGGCACTCTCTTCTCGCGTGCACAGAGCCACAGCCCCAGCGGCAGGGAAGAGCTCCTAACGACTGGCTCCCAGTCTCAAAGGAAGGAACATCTGCCTTGCAGGCCCCAGTGCCAGGAGGAGCCGTGTGGGTGAAAGGCTGGGCCCCCACTGAGCCCCGGATCTGGGAGCCCTGAGCTCCATGTCCACAAGGACAGTAAATGTGAAAATGTACCAACTCATTTATGTTAACTTCTCCATGGCACAATATGCAGAAAATAAATCCAAGAAGGATTTTTGATTCAGTTCTTTATACAATTAAAATGAAGTTACATTTAGGGAGAAGGGAGATATTTTAAAAGCACTTATAAACAGTATTCTAAGTGGTATGCTAGTTTCAATAGTTTTATCTTTGTCTACATTTACCATTATCCCTTAGTTCAGCTCTTAAAATTACGTTAGAACAATAAAATAGGATCAAAGTGTCATTCTTCCAAGTTTACAGTGCATTGCAGTATTTACAAAAATGTGAGAAGAATACATTTTTATCTTGGTTCATTCAAGTGTTGTTCGAATGCAGATGTGGCCAGAAGTACGCAGCAGGGACACAGAGGTCAACAATGTTTGCCTTGTAGGAGGGCCTCTGAGCAGAGAATCAGCCTGCGTCCCGATAATTTCCGCCTCTCCCCACCCTGTGCTTCCTGAAACCTCAGGTCCGGGCTTCTCACACTGACATGTCCTCATCAGAAAATGGCCATCATTTGGTGTTCCTTGTGGGGTTTTATGAAGGTTAAATGAGATAATATTCATTAAAAGTCTAGGCATTCAGGAAATGAGAGTGCGGCGGGCCGCAGCAGCCACACCAGCATCGCAGTGAGCTCCTCACTTGTCTGGGCCTCCTGGAGAGACAGGGGCAGCCCACCTTCGTCCCTGCAGCTCAGGAGTGTCCCTTTTTCAGTTCCAGACCCAGCCTCAGGGGCATAAAGGAATTTTTTTCAAGCCATACTAATCCCTAGACTCTGGAGGAGATTGCGTGGCCGAGTGGGGAAAACAAACAGGAAGCAGGAAGCCTGGCCTGTGGCTGGGCTTTGCCTCTCACTGGTTTTGTTATTGGTGGAAAACCAGTTCATGCAATATCACGAGAAAAAGAATTTCCTGAGACCCGCGTGGGGCTCCATGGTAAGCTTTACCGATAATGTAAAATGAAGGGGTTCCCCTCCTGACTTCCCAAAGTCCCATCTCCATCTGTCCTGCCGTGGAAAAGGTCCAATCTTGTCTTCAGCAAGGCCAAGGCAAAAACCAGTGTCCAGAGTTTTCTGCTCCATGTTAGACTCCAGTCCAGCCCAGCATCCGGCCAGCGTGGCGTGTGTTTCCAGCTGCAACCCATTGCTGTGCTGTGGGATTCAGGCTCCCTCCTGGAGTCTGCATGTGGGATCCACACGGCTATGCTCCGTGCACCTGCTAGGGCCACAGGGCTTTGGAGAGTGAACATGGGAGTCAGTTCACCCGTGTGTGGGGTGGGTGGGGGGAGTGCTGCTTTGTTCCCCTGGGATTATATTAGTTTGGGTTTAGGATGGACCAGGTGTTTTTTCAAAATGACCAATTTCCCAGGCTTTCTCAGGCTTTGGATGAGTCTACACTCCCTAGTTAGATTAACAGGCCTCTGTGGCCCAGCACCTTCCCCACACCTCCCAGCAGTCCAGAGGTGGGAAGCGAGGGTGTTAATCCTTTTGGTGGAGCAAGGTGCTGTGGTCCCCTGGAGTATGAAAAGCTGTAACTTTCTGATGAAGCAGACAGGTTCATGCTCCTCAGTTTATCAAGCTCAATGTCTAGTTCCCTTTGCTCGCCTTTCTTATAATCAGCTAAATACCAGTGGTAACAGTTTTGTTCTGTGATTTTGGACAAGTCATCAGCTCTCCGGAAAGCAGCTGTCTTCACCGTGAAAGAGGAGGATCAAATAAATTCTCCCAAGGTCCTTTTTTTAAAAATTTTTACTCTGGGATATCAAGTGCTTTAATTGCAGTTGACGTGCAATATTGTATTAGTTTCAGGTGTGCAATGTGGAGTTGACATTTATATACCTTACGAAGTGATCACCATGAGAAGTCCAGTAACCATCTGTCACATACAAAGTTGTTGCAATGCCATTGGCAGTATTCCCGATGCTGTAACTTACATCCCTGTGACTTATTTATGTGACAAATCTGTGCCTCTTAATACTCTTCACCTTTTTGCCCATTCCCCCCCATCACCCAACACTCTGGCGACTATCAGTTTGTACTTCCTACCTGTGAATGTGATGGTTTGGTTTGGTTTGTCCACCACTTCAGTTTTTCACCCTGGTGCACTGTTGGTGGGATTGTAAATTGGTGCAGCCAGTATGGAAAACTGTATGAAGCTTCCCCCAAAAAACTGAAAATAGAACTCTCAATGTCCTTTTTAAGTGTAAAATTCTGAAACTCTCAAATGAGCCAGAAACCATGTGAGATTCCAGCTGAGGGTGGAGATCGGAGTTGCCTCCCCCCTCGGGGTGAGCCTTCACCAAAACCTGTGTTCTGCACTCCCAGTGCGCCGCTCTGGACCTCCTTCATGTCTCTTCGCACCACGTCCCCTGCCCCAGGGTGCCACACTCCTCCAGTTCACCCATCCCTGTCCAAGAAGACCTCCCAGCGCATGGCAGTTCCCCCCCCATGGCATCTGGATTTTTGCGACATTTGGGACATGTTGAGAACTTTGCATCACCTTTTAAATCACCTCAGCTCCGTCCTGTTTCTTTCTGCCTAGAAAAGCAGCTCCTACTCCCACTGCTTGTAACTGTCCCACTGGCGCTTTGTCATGGGAACAGGGTTTTCCATAGTCTCATGGCCCCCTCCTGAGAATACATGGTTAGGGTTTCTTAGAAGCTGTGCTTGGAAAAGCTTCACTTCTCTGTATTATCGTAGTAAATGTGCTGTGTCTGCATTGTCTCTTCTTTTTTCAGTATTTTCATGTTCCAGACAGTGCTACTTTCAGCATTTGCCCAGGTGGCGAGCAGCCTGCCGTGAACTCCAGCTCCCTTCCTTGCTGGGACTTAATGCCTGACATCATCCCATCGGCGCTGGATGCATCGCTGCTTCAGAAGCAGATCTCGCTGGCCTTTTCTCCCACCGCGGGTGCCGACAGCTCACAGAGCTGGAGCCTGCCAGCCGTCGTTCGACAGGAGTTCCCCCGACAGAGTGTGGCGGTGCCCTTGGGCAGCTGTAGGGAGGAGAATGGATTCTGCACCAGGTACTGTGCATGTGTGTGAACACCCTGCTTCTCTTGTCACTATAGCTGTTCACTGAGGGGCCAAGAGACGGGAGAATGATTGCAGTGCCCACCATATGTAAAACTAAGTTTTCCTCTTGTTCACAATGGCTTCTAGACGTTGTATTACAACTGGGCAAATGTTATGGTCACATGGATTTTTCCCTGATGCAGCTTCTCCTGGGGGAAGATGATGTAACAGCAATACAGTGTTATGAAAAGATCGTCTCGTTTTATGACTTCTTGGCCTCTGTCGAATGATAAGAAAATAAGGATTAAAATATGAGAGAGTGAAGTTGGAAAACCTTTTTATTTTCCCATATTTTATTTCAAAATGGAATTTTTCTCAAAAAGTCATTAAGAGAGATAACTCAGATAAACACAAGTTACAGAAGACTCTGTTCTGCAGTTGTTCCTGCACGCAAGTCACCGATTACGCAAATAACAGCCACAGAATCAAGCCAGGGACGTGCAGTGGTCTGTTCGTACTGGACTTTTATTTTGTGGTTGTTTTGCATGCAATATGTCCTTCTCTAGCTGTCGGGGATAACTTATCTATGCTATATGTAAAAAGTACAAACGAAAACATTGTGACCTTATGAGAGGTACCTTACTCTTGGGATTATGAATTTATAGACTTTATTTGAGATTTTAGCCATCCTAACTTTGTGAGGGATACAGATTTCTAGTAGTAATATTTTAAAAGATAACTTTCCAACACACGTAAGTAAGGCCCCGTTCCCTACACACATCCCTTCTCCTTTCCCAGCATTCACAAACATCCCTGGTTTTATGAGCACTTCCGTCCCTCACTGGAGAGGAGGGGTCCTCCTCATATTCTGATTGGAGAAGTTCAGTGTGGTGAGTTTGAGGCAGCATTTTTGACAGTGATGTGAACCTGTGTCTAGAAAACAAAGCTTATTTTTAAAATTTGAAGACAAAACTCTAACTGTTTATTTGAAATTACTTAAAATTCTAAGAATCACAAGACATAATTTTATTAAAATAACAATTTCATTCTTAAATATTAAGTAAGATGTTAGATTAAAAATTCCTTATGTTAGTTCTGGCTACCCACTTTCTTGGCCACCAAAAAGAAAATTCCCGAGGTTGGCTTTCCCAATTCTTTCAAAACTAGGCTGGGAAAAGAACTTTGTAGTTAGTCCACCGTCTGTACTCTGAAAGTGAATTCACGTCCTGCTGCCCCATCTCCCCCTCCCTCTCCCCTCCTCAGTCCAACGGGGCACATTTGTAGGTTTCGTGAATGGGATTCCCCAGAGGCTAGTGGTCATTCTGTGGCGTTTCAGGCACACAGTCTTCGGGGAGGGGCCTGACACTGGTGAGCAAGACAAGTAGCAAGTGGGAAGTCACACATTTGGCAAATATCTGATTTCTTCAATTAACTTGAACAATCAGTCCATGTAATTTAAACATCAGAGAGAATTTTTTCCTGCTCTGATATGAAATGTTGTTTGGTAGATTATAGTCCTGGCTTCGAAAAGCTCTGTCACTCCATTGTGGAGGGGAGCTCATGCCCACACAGCAGTTCTTTTAGTGCCAAATGACGCAGCTTCATTCTTGGTGGACAAGCGGCGCTCCTGTAGAGTATGCTGACTGTGGAAACTAACAACAAACTCTACGAGCCTACCTACATTTAGGGAAAAAAAAGAGCAAGTACCCAGATTCTCTCGGAGTCCTTCTGAAAGCACAACAGCTCCTCCTTAGCCAAAATTTCCCAGGCGTGTTTGAGGGGAAAGGCGCCCTGCCGACAGTTGAAGGCACAGACGGCCTGAGGGGGGAAGTGCAGGGGGGAAGTGTAGCCCAAGGTTGCCTGTCATTCTCTCCGAGTGGCACAAGTTACGGAGGGGTTTCTTTTAGATAATTTTTCACATTTAAAAAAACTTTTGTGATAAATGTATGTTACTGTTTTCAGGAAAAAAAACAGTAAGTCTATAATATGTGGTAGTTACTATAGAAGAAGATGGTCTTTTTCTAGAAACCATTTGCTCTGGTTTATAAAAGAGAAGGTACTACAGAGTTCTAAATAGTGCAAGTCTAAATAAACGTGCATCAGTAGAGAAGACATTTCTTTCCAAACCGTTTCTGTCATTTGGGTTCCTTCTGTTCCAGGGCCGTGGCACTGACCTACCAAGAGCACTTGGGAGTGACTTATTTAACCCTCTCCGAAGACCCTAGTCCTCGAATAATTTTCCACAACAGATGTCCAGTAACAGTACTTATTAAGGAAAATATCAAAGGTATATTTTATAACATTGAATTCAAATAATAACAAAACCTGTATTTTTTCTGGAGGTTTTTACTTAGTAATTAGCTAACCTGTGATCCTATAAGGAATGTTTAAATAAAAGTGTTATTAATTTCCTGAAAAGTTTTTCTTGCCCCACTATGTTTAATATCCCTAAGTCTGTCCCCAAGACCTTAAGACTACATATGCGTTTTTTTTAGATACTCCGAAGTTTGAGGTTTATTGCCGAAAAGTTCCTGCTGAGTGTTCAATCCATCATGAGCTTTATCACCAGATCTCCAGTTACCCAGACTGCAAACCCAAAGACCTGCTCCCCAGCCTCTTTCTGAGAGCAGAGTCCATGGATGAAGTCACGACCGAGTGGAGTGACGCCGTCGATGTCAACAGTCCAGGGACCCAGGTCCGTGAGCCACGCGTTACCCCAGTGCCCAAAGGAAAATGTCCTTTTCTAAGTGTCAGTGGTTGTCTATTTTTAAGCGTAGTTTTCTGAATGCTGGACTTCCCGTCTCTGTGAGCGCCTGTGTGTACTCATTTTTGATGCTCAAATACAAGTATATATCTCTAAAGTATACTATATACCTGTTTACCAGGGAGGAGCACTTGGTAACAGCAGGCCCACCTTGGATCTACTACAAGGTCAAAACAAAATAAAATTGCTGGACTTCTCTACACAGAAGGTATTCCAACTGGCCAGATTTTAAGACAATCATAATGCCAACACTAGTTTAATTCCCCCTTTTGAAACTTTACTAATTTTAAAATATACATTTTGTCCTAGTAGTACATAAAACTTTGCAAGTATAAGTGCATTTTTAAAATCCTGCACAGATAAAATGTCTTTGTTTGTCCCTGTCTTACTCTGGATATTAGTGCTGTTATTTTTGTTGTAAGCGGAACATGAACCAAGCATATCGTTCCTACTGTGCTTAAGATTTGCCATGTTTTAGGCCATCATCCATATACACCAAGATTGTGGGTTCAATCCCTGGTCAGGGCACTTACAAAAATCAACCAATGGATGCATAAATAAGCGGAACAGCAAATCAGTGTTTCTCTCTCTCCCTCTCTCTCATCAATCAATAAGTTTTTAATGGCCATTTTTAATATATAGTGGCATTAAATACATTCACCATGTTGTCCAACCATTACCACTATTCTAGCATCCCAAACCAAAGCTCCGTGCCCATTAAGCAACTCCCTGTTTCCCTTCACTCAACCCCTCACAGCCTCTTTTGCACTTTCTGCCTCTGAATTTGCCTAGTCTAAGCACCTCATAAAAGTGGAGTCAAACAATACTTGTCCTTTTGTGTCTGGCTTATTTCACTTGGCATAATATTTTCAAGGTTTATCCATAACATGTGTCAGAACTTTATTCCCTTTTGTGGCCAAATAATATTGTGCTGTACTTTTTTAATGTTCTTTACATCTATTAGTTTATTTGATCTTCACAATAAGCTTTTGAAGTAGATCCCATTGTAATGGTTACAAAACACATATTAAAGTTATAAATATGTATAGTAATAATGATGATTACCATTTAATAATCACTAACTGTATGCCAGGCATTGGGCTAAGCACTTTACAGTCATTCCTTTTTTTTTAATCGGGGTGACATTGGTTAATAAAATTATATACCTTTCAGGTGTACAATTCTATAACATGTCATCTGTATATTGCGTGTTCACCGCCCCAAGTCAAGTCTCCTTTAATCACGATTTTCCTCCTTATATCCTCCTCTACCTCCCACAGCCCCTTTTCCCTCTGGTAATCACCATACTGTTATCTGTGTCTGTGAGTTTTGTTTGTTTGGGGTTTTTTCTTTTGTTTAATCCCTTTACATTTTTGACCCAATCCCCCAACCTTCCTCCCCTCTGACAGCTGCCAGTCTGTTCTGTGTATCTATGAGTCTGTTTCTATTTGTTTGTTAATTTTTTTGTTCATTAGATTACATATATAAGTGACATCATATGGTACTTTCACTTAGCATAATAGTCTCCAGGTCTATCCAAGCTGTTGCAAAACTAAGATTTCCTTCTTTTTTATAGTCAAGTAGTATTCCATTATGTAAGTGTACCACAGCTTTCTCTCTTCTTTTTTGTTATTGTTGGCACTACTACTGCTGTCCCCCATTCCCCCCCACCCCTTTTCCTTCAATAAGCCCCTACCCTCTCCCTCCCCACAGCCTTCCCCACATTGTTATTTGTGCCCCTGGGCTATGCATATGTGTGTATATGTACTTTGGCAAATGTCTTCCAGTCACCCCCAGCCCCCTCCCCTCTGAGATCTGTCAGTCTGTTCCATGATTCAATGCCTCTGGTTTTATTTTGTTCATCAGTTTATATTGTTCATTAGATTCCACGTATGAATGAGATCATGCTGTCTTTCTCTGACTGGCTTATTTCACTTATATAATATTCTCCAGGTCAGTCCATGCTGTCACAAAAGCTAACTAAGATTTCCTTTTTTAAGGCTGCATAGAATTTCATTATGTAAATGTATCACAGCTTTTTTATCCATTCATCTACTGATGGACACTTGGGCTGCTTCCAAATCTTGGCTATTGTAAATAATGCTGCATTGAACATAGAGGTGCATATATTCCTTCAAATCAGAGTTTTGGATTTCTTCGCATGTATTCCCAGAAGTGGGATCGTTGGGTCTTAAGGCAGTTCCTTTTTTTAATTTTTTGAAGTAACTCCATACATTTTCCACAGTGGCTGCACCAATCTGCATTCTCACCAACAGTACATAAAGGTTTCCTTTTACCACATCCTCTCAAACACTTGTTTGTTGTTTTATTGATGATAGCCATTCTGACAGATATGAGGTGTTCTCTCATTATGGTTTTAATTTGCATTTCTATGATGATTAGTGACATTGAGCATTTTTTCATATATCTATTGACCATCTGTATGTATTCTTTGGAGAAATGTGTGTTCAGGTTCTTTGTTCATTTTTCAATTGAATTGTTTGTCTTCCTGGTGTTGAATTGTGTAAGTTCTTTATAAATTTTGGATATTAACCCATTACCCGATGTATCACTGGCAAACATTCAGTGGGTTGTCTTTTCATTTTGTTGATGGTTTCCTCTGCTGTGCAGAAACTTCTTAGTTGGATGTGGTCCCATTTGTTTATTTTTTCTTTTATTTCTCTTGCCTGGGAAGATAAATCAGAAAAAAATGTTGCTATGAGAAATGTTCGAGATTTTACTGCCTATGTTTTCTTCTATAAGTTTCTTGGTTCCAAGTCTAATATTTAAGACTTTAATCCATTTTGAGTTTAATCTTATGTGTAGTGTAAGAAGGTGGTTTAGTTTCTTTTTCTTTCTTTTTTCTTTCTTTCTCTTCCTTCCTTCCTTCCTTCCTTTTTTCTCATATCTGTCCAGTTTTCCCCAACGCTATTTATTGAATAGGCTCTCTTTACCCCATTGTATGTTCTGGCCTCCTTTGTCAAATATTAATTGACTAAAATGTATGGGTTTACTGTTGGTCTCTGTATTCTGTTCCATTGATCTACATGCCTGTTTTTATGCCTATACCATGCTGTTTTGCTTACTATGACCTTGTAGTAGAGTTTGGTATCAAGTAGTGAGATTCTTCCAACTTTGTTCTTCCCCCTCAAGAGTGCTGTGGCTATTCAGGTTCTTTTGTGGTTCCATATAAATTTCTGAAATGGTTATTCTGTGAAATACGTCATTGGTATCTTGACAGGAATTGTATTGAATCTATAGATTGCTTTGGGAAGTATGGACATTTTAATGATGTTAATTCTTCCTACCCATGAGTGTGGTATATGTGTCCACTCTTTTGTATCTTCTTCATTTTTTTTTTTAGTGTCTTTTCTGAGAACAGGTCTTTTACATCCTTGGTTAAGTTTATTCCTAGGTATTTTATTTATTTTGATGCAATTGTAATGGGATTGGTTTCTTAGTTTTCCTTTTGATAGTTCATTATTGATCTATGAAAATGCAAATGATTTCTGGATTTTTTTTATGTGTCCTGTGACTTTACTGAATTCATTTATCAGTTCTAGTAGTTTTTGGCGGAATCTTTAGGGTTCTCTATATACAGTATCATGTCATCTGCAAATAAGGACAGTTTTACTTCTTCCTTTCCAATTTGGATGTCTTTTATTGTTTCTTCTTGACTGATTGCTGTGGCTAGCACTTCCAGTACTATGTTGAATAAGAGTAGTGAAAGCAGATATCCCTGTGTTGTTCCAGATCTTAAGGGAAATGCTTGTAGTTTTTGCCCATTGTGTATGATATTGGCAGTGGGTTTGTCATATATGTATGACCTTTATTATGATGAGATATGTTCTATTTGTACTTTGCTGAGAGTTTTATCATAAATGGATGTTGAATTCTATCAAATGCTTTTTTGCATCTATTGATATGATTATGTGATTATTATCCTTCATTTTGTTTATGTAGTATATCATGTTCATTGATTTGCAGATATCATATTAACCTTACATCCTGGGATTAATCCCACTTGATTACGGTATATGATCTTTTTAATGTATTGCTGGATCTGGTTTGCTAATATTTTGTTGAGGATTTTAGCATCTGTGTTCATCAAGAATATTGGCCTATAATTTTCTTTCTTTGTAGTGTCTTCATCTGATTTTAAAATTAGGATAATGCTGGTGTTGTAAAATGAGCTTGGGAGTCTTCCCTCCTCTTTAATTATTTGGAATAGTTTGAGAAGGAGAGGAGTTAATTCTTTTCAATATTTGCTAAAATTCACCTGTGAAGCAATCGCATCCAGGGCTTTTGTTTGTTAGGAATTTTTTTATAACTGCTTTAATTTCATTAGCTGGAATCTGGCCGTTCAGATTTCCTGATTCTTTCTGATTCAGTTTTGGTAGATTGTATATTTCTAGGAATTTATCCATTTCATCCAGATTATTCAATTTGTTGGCATATAGTTGTTTGTAATATTGTCTCACAGTCCTTTGTATTCCTTGGTGCTGGTTGTTACTTCTCCTCTTTCATTTCCTCTCTCTTTATTGATGAGTCTGGTTAAAGGTTTGTCAATCTAGTTTATCTTTTCAAAGAACCAAGTGTTAATTTCAGTGATATTTTGCATTGTTTTTTTAAATATATTTTATTGATTATGCTATTACAGTTGTCCCATTTCCCCCCCTTTATTTCCTTCCACCTTGCACACCCCCTCCCACCCACACTTCCCCCTTTAGTTCATGTCCATGGGTCATACATGTAAGTTCTTTGGCTTCTACATTTCCTATACTATTCTTAACCTCCCCCTGTCTATTTTCTACTTATCATTTATGCTACTTATTCTCTGTACCTTTTCCCCCTCTCTCCCCCTCCCACTCCCCTGTTGATAACCCTACATGTGATCTCCATTTCTGTGGTTCTGCTCCTGTTTTAGTTGT